TTGTATGAACAAAAGCTTTTTGTATTAACAAAGGCTTCTTTGTATGAACAAAGGGTTTTTTCACATGACCAAGGACTTTTTTTATATGAACTTTTGTCATTAATCAAGGACTTTTTTCATATAATCAAGGACTTTTTCCATATAATCTAGGACTTTTTCCATATAATCAAGGACTTTTTGCATATAATCAAGGACTTTTTTTTCATATCAACAACGACTTTTTTTTTCATATCAACAAGGACTTTTTTTTCCTATTAACATGGACTTTTTTTTACATCAACATGGACTTTTTTTCATATCAACAAGGACTTTCAAAATTAATCATATGTCCAGGCGAGTTAATCGCAGGAAATTCTTGTTAGAAAAATTTCTAAAATTTTCGAAATATTTCAACTTCCAAATGATATTAAAATTTATCGCATGTATCAATCACATCATGGGAGCTAGAATCCCATATCATTTTCCATAAATACATAATACGATACCACAGATTTGGGAAAATCAGTCGTATCCATTCGAAACCACGTCCTCGAGTCTGCACCGAAATATTTAGAGGCGAATGCAAAAGTATAAAGCGTTTTTTCACTGCACACACCATATAAAAATGTATGTGAAAATATGTCCTATTTCTTATTTCTTATTTAGAAGTGCATTTTCTCATCTTTGGGGGGCGCGTTGCTCCGCATACGGAATTGAATCATTCGCAGTACTAGCTGAAATACGAGTTTTAGTGGGAGAATTGGTAACCAGAAATGAAAATTGAAAGCTTTTTTTTTGTTAATGTTAATTTTTTAAAACTAACTTCAAAATCTAAAAACAAATTAAATTGGAATCAAATATGCACATTCATATTAATATGCACAGTGCACGAGATCAACATAATTTACTCGTCACAATTTTAAATGAAATTTTTTCATAAGGTAACTTATTTAGATGATGTTTGTAGCAAAAAATTAACTGTTAATATTTAATATATGTATTAATTAATGTGATAAATAATTATTTACAAGAATTTGTTGCCTTTGCTTTTTTAAAGACATTTTAATGTTTTCATGTACTTACATTTAAGTTAAATTTATAATTAATCTTGTGATTGTGTAATTGTTTATGAAATCAAACATAACTTAAATTATTAATAAGCATATATAAAAATATTACCAAATCAGCAAAAGAAAAAATAGATCTGCATTTTATTTTAATTAAATTTCCACAACTTTCAAAAGAACTGTGTTGTCTATACCGATAAGAGTCCATTTCTAATGCAATTTTAGTTGTATAAGATTATTAAAGAAGCACTTGGATTATTTCGTTTGTAATTTTTTTCAAAAAAAATTTGGGCTTATTTAGAAAAGTATTCTTAAATATCCAGTATGAGCTGATAGGTTTTACTTTTTGTCAAAAAAAAGTTCTGACATAGAATATGCCGACTGGAAGTGAGCTTGAAGAAAATCGTTCATTAATAAAATCGCATAGTTTTAGCTCCTAAATACATCATGGGCAAACTAGATTTTACTGCAAAATATTTTGCCAAAAAATATTCCATTTATTTTACTACAATTACTGGTACTAGCAACTTGTTAGATTTGTATCATGATTTTTGTGTGATTTTGATTCTACTTATTTTATTTTATATAAATTTATTTAGCCTTCTATTAATCATCACAAATTAATCATTTACATGATCTTCTAAAAATATACCCTAATTTTAAAATAATTTAAAAACCTAATAATTTGCGTACTTCAATAATATGGTATACTAATTTCACATTCTAATAATCTATAAATAACTTAATATTTTTTAATGCAGTTTTTGTTTTATTTATAAGTTATTTACAGTTTTTAATTTTTTTTTCAAAAATTAATTTATAATTGGCAAAAATAAATGTTTTATTGATAAGATTTCGAACAATTGAAGGCTCAAAGTAAAACATGATATATTCAACGACCAATAAATTTTTATGCAATTTAGCAAGAATGTTAAATTCATCTTAATATTAATACTCAAATAGTTTTATCAAAATCACAACATTTTATTTAACAAAAATTGTCATTATCAGCGAAATTTTGTAAACTTAATTGTAAGTCTAATTGTAAGTAGATCGGTTTCTTTGGATTTTTTTATTAGCTTCTTTAGAAAAAATATATTTTTTAATAAGACAATATATTTAAATTGTTGTTAAAATATGTTCATTGTTGGGAACTAGGTATTTTGAAGCAACTCATTCTAATTTAATAGGTGAAAAAACGAAAATTTAAGTAGTTTGAAATAAAGCTAAATAATGTAGATCATCTACAAATACTTACAAAGAATTACAAAATTCGGAAACTAGAAAAAAATAACGTATACATCTAATTAGTAAAACATATAATCATGTATTTTGAAATCATGGAATTTATAGCATTTAATAAAATTAAACATAAAATTCGCCTTTGGGACAACCTGGTATCGATCCGCAATCATACATATAAATTTGTTTGTAAGAAAAAGTAATCCTTCTTACAACATTGCATCAAGTTAAAAAAAATCGATACTATTGAAACAATTACAAAAATAATATTTTGGATATAGATAAGACAATAATTGCGTTGACTTCTAAAAGAGTCCAGCAGTTAAGAATATAAGTTTATTGTGAATTTATTCATTAAATAGAAAATATGATTGTTCAGAAAGTCGACATGTCATGACATTATATTTTGTTTCATCTCGTTACTGAGTCTGATAGTTCTTTGGGATCCTTACGTGATTACAAAGCAAAAATAAATATATAAAATGACCTAATATAATATTATTCTCATTGAAGTTCCTCAAATCAAACACAGATAGTTAGAGCAATATTTTTTCATAATTTTCTATTCTGTCTCTCCAACTCCCTCACTATTCAGTTTCTCCGTCTAAGGGTCTCTCTGAAATACGAGTTAACTCGAGTCACGTTCTGCAGATATGATCTAGTGTATGCCAGAACGCATAACCCATTTATTATTGCACCTAATATTACTCTAGAAGGAGAAATTGTAACACTCGAACACCATTTCCTTATACTTACACACTTATTCAATGATACTTAACTTACTGTGCCAAAAGTTGGACGGACCCAGAAAGTTTTGGGAAAAAACTTACTTTAAAGCAGTTCAAGAAATAACCGAGATAATAATTTATTAACTTTTCTTTATCAAATCTTATATTTAAAAATGAATCGCAAAATGTGTTGGAAAGCGCATAACTCAACAACGCCTCGACCAATTTGTCCAATTCTTTTTTTAAAATGTTCATTAAAGTTCAAGGATGGTTCTTACGGCGGGAAAAAATCGAACAGTTGCCTGGAAAACCCTAAAAACAGCCCTATTCTTTTTCACATACAAACGTTTTCTAACTAAAACGTAGAATTAATTTGAGCTTTATTGCTATTAAAGTTTATATTAAATTACAAGCACTCGCTGTATACTCCTTCTAAACGATTATTCGGATTTTGATAAATCTTTCTGAAGTTTGTTAAGGATATTATTTAGGATATATGTGATTATAAAGTACTGGGATGTATGTGCAATATTGCAGAAATAAATAAAAAAACATGCAAAAAACGACATGTCACTGTTTACATTGACAACAAATGAAAATTATCATCTGCCAAAAATTTCAATTTACTTATGAACCTAGACAATATTAAAATATATATAATAAATTTATGATTATGAATAAGAAAAATAAAATGTTTACATTATTTATTGCTAAAAAAGCAATATAAAACATCAGTATATGTATGGCAGATTGAGTGATACACATATGAACAGGATATGACAAATTAATTCACTTAAAATATGAAATTAAGTATTAATCAGGGCTGGTTTAGGCACCTTTAATGCGATGCTTGCGAAAAATAAGAGCGCACGCCTTAGGGGGCGCCAACACAAGATTCGGATATTAAATTTTTAGTTTTTTTCAATATATAATTTCTTTGCATCTTTTACTAACCTTTCCAAAATATTATTGAAATTCGTAAAAATTTCAATTTATAACAACTAATGGTAAAGTAAAGATGAATATATACAATTCGGCCCTAATGATATCGATTAGGAAAAGTTTAAGATGCAATTTTGGATATCTTAAATAATAAAATATTAAATTAATTTAATCCAACATGAAGTACCAGTGTTATGTTATGGTTATGGTTATGTTATACCGTTTAAAAGACTTCAATTTCCAATATAGTGTGGGAATTGAGACTCATCCTTTCATTTAAAACAGTTCTACATTTAACATCGCTCATATTATGAATGTATATGCATTTTGGCGTGAAAAGTAATTTAAAAAGCAATAATTATTATTTTTAGGTAAAAAGTAAATATTAGTATATTATATTAAAAAAATTGTAGACATGGGTACAGGACAACGTCTGTTCGATCATCTAGTTTAATATACAAATAAACATTTCATGTCTTTTAAACTATTTTATTACAATAAAGAATTGTGATCTCTCAATTATTATCTCCAATTGTACATTTTTCTTCTATAATAAAACTGAAGTCAGATTCAATATAAGCGAAATTAAGAAAACCGTAACGATTTCTATGAGAACGAAAAAAAAGAGAAAACTTTCTCCGCCGATTTGTACGTAAGATGACGATGATAGATAAAACAAACTTTTTTATTTCTTTTATACGTTAAAGCAATCAAAAAGAAAAGTTTTTTGCAGTCAGACAGACTTCGTTCAAAAGACAGAGATACGTATCTCTTAGACTGTTTTTTTATATTGAAAACTCGCCAGAAGGTAGTAATTATATTATTGTTAAATTGAATTAAGTTAGTGGGAGCTAAGTGGAAATTGCAAAGTATATTTTAGAGGTTTAATGCAGTTTCAGAACAATATTCTTGTAAAAAAGGTCGATGGACAGCAGATCCATAGACTGTTGTAATGAATGATTTTTAGAAGATTTATGAAGATATTTATAAATATTATACAATGCCAATAGTTATAATTTTATTTTTTTTCCTCTTGTTTCAGGTGAGATGATAATTACCAATGACAAATACTTGATGAGCGAAAGTAGTGGTACCTACTATAGTGTTCAAATGAAATTGGTAATCAAGAAGTTTCACAAAACTGATCTTGGAGGATACAAGTGCATATCCAAAAATTCCATTGGAGATGCTGAAGGCAACATCAGATTATACGGTAAGACATTAATAATACTAATACTAGAAATGAACAAAAATAGTAAAACTATCCATAAGAAACTTAACTTAAAATAATCTTTAACCCTTTCGACTCGGATGCCGCCGGCGGCAAAATTCATATAGATCTCGAAATTCGCGAGTGGAAATTAGTCGTAACATGGTCATTAAATTCTGAATATTTCTTTTAATTTTTATAATTTTTGTTTCATTCATATATTATTATGAAATCTATAAAATTACTTATATTATGTTCATCACCCTATAAGAGTAAATATATAGTTTCCTACAAAATATAGAAACTTTACTCACGTTTTGTATTCATAAGACTTTCCACAATTTTTATGTTTGCATCATATTTTTAATTATAATTCCTAAACAATCAATCAATTATTTCTGGCAATGTATAAAAAGTATTCATTTATAATAAATTTTGATATAAAATGTTTCTTAAATATTTTTTGTATATAAAGTATACTCGTAATTTCTATAAAAACCTATTGTATTTAACTTTTTGTTATTCAGGATTTTTAAGGGATGATATTTTGATATCTGTAGAATTTTTATTTACAATTTTAGAAAAGTATTTAGAAACCAGTCATATCCGAATAAAAGAGTAGAATGATCTTAAGCAAACTTGTCCTCAAATATTAAAAGTTAAATTAAGATTCAGGATACAAACTACAACTTTCTAGATTTTCAAACAATTTTAAAAAAAGGATATTTCTAAAATCTTTAATATAGAAAATTATAGAAACAATTTTAGAAAAAACGTACCGTATTCTGATTTTTTCATAAATATCAGTAAAAATTGGTTTGGAAATGAGCAATGTCACTTATCCCTCTACAAATAAAAAAAGACTAAATAACAATAGTTTAAGAAAATTCTTAAATTAATTCCTTGAAGTAATCTGTATTAGTTCATTTTATAATAATACGAAAATAAATTTGAACTCAAAAATGTGCAATACTAAATTTTTTTGTTTTATTGCCTAGTATATGAACAAACTTATTCAATAATGCATTTCAAAAGATAATAAAAAACTTACTTTTGTAATACATAGCTGATGTCATCTTAACACTAGCAATTAGTTGAAAACTGTAATTTTTTTTCCAATTTTACAAAGTGTTTATGAACTAATCATACTTTTCAATGAAGTAAAGAATCAGTAAACCATTTTGTTAAATATTATTAATTTATTTGAAACTACCATCACCAATATATTAATATTTTTTTATTTTTATAGTTTTATATTTTATTAAATTTAATTTGATATTTTGCAGCGTTTTTTGAAAATTCATTTTATATTAGGCATACCTTTATTTTCTAATTATTCTGCATTATATTGATTTTACATACTTTATATTTTATTTTATTTAACATATTGATCTTATTCTGTACTTGAAAGCTTATTTGCACTTCCATTTCTAGTTATTTTAAAGTAGGAATTCATAACACTTAGGCTTGATATAAGGATTCACCAAACTCAAGTTTTAAATCGAAAATCTACGAAATTTTTATTATACTAATTTAAAGACCTTAAAAAACTAAAATCTGTATTAAAGTAAAAAAAAATCTATATGAAGTTCATTACATCGTAAAGTATGACCATCGCAAGATATTTTTTCATGTTCAATCTTAAACTAAACTAGTGGTTTATGGCATCGTGCCTTAAGACAAATTTCTGGAACTTCCCGTACCGTAATGAAATATTCGAGAAATTTTAAACGTTTTCAAATATATTATTACAAATACTGCAACTTTCATTATTTTTGCTAACTTGTTATATCTGAGCAAATCAAATGTAAATCATGAATCAATTTAGAAAGTATCGTTATTTCATTTCGAATTCAATTTCAAAAAAAAAAATAGTTGCCTAATTTACACAAAATTGAAATAATTCTGTGCGACATTTGCACCTATACTGTGCTTAGCTTGGCGGCATTTTCACATTTTTCAATAGTTTTCACAAAATTGGATAAGTGCTCCAGTGCATAAACAGTCTAAACGCACTTGGGTATACATTTGTATCAGAGTGGCGCTTAGACTGTGCTTAGCCTGGGTAATTTTTTGAATTTTTAATCCAAAATTACAAAAATATTTTATGGAAAATAAAAAAAAATGTAATAATTTTTTATCTTCAAAAGCAATTGTTTTGTCAATACAAGCAGAAAGTTTTTTAGATCATTTAAATCGGACGCTTAGTTCACTCAAAAACTGCTGTTTTTTGCACATTTAGCTCTGTATCTTCGAAATGGCGGGACCTGTCTTTGCCAAAAACTAATCACCTCCCAATCATTACAAATTAAATGTTTTTTGGATCATTCAAATCCGATACTCCGTTTCTTCAAAAACCCGATTTGTATTTTCTGCACTCTGTGCTCCGTATCTCCGTAACGGCTGGACTTGCCTTTGCCAAAAACTAATCAGCACATCTCCCACATCAATAGGGATCGAATGTCTTTTAAACCATTCAAAACGGTTGATCCGTACGCCCGAAAACGTGGACGAAAAAATGCGGACATACAAAACACACACACACACATCATTTTTTTCTGAGGTATGCCAGAATGTTCAGAAACCTTCAAAACGTGAAGATATGCAAAAAAATTTATTTTCGATTTTCGGCACATTACTATAACTACCCTACGGGAAGTTATCTTAGCATTTGATTATAATTTTTCAAAATCATATATTATTCACGATTTTATTTTATTTTTCATAACAAAATTTACTCCGAATAAACACCGGAATGTACATAAGTAAACATCTCCGTTAACTCTTGTAAGTTCAATTACGAGGATAGTTGGCAGGCATTAGCGTAATTATTTATCTGACGCTGCCGTTATGCCGTTACTTTACATAAACTCATAAAGAGCGAAATTGTAGTTGCAGCTACGTCGTTCTCTCTTGCCAAACTAACTTATTTATAATAAAATAGTTCTGTCTTCTTAACGCATCGTGAAGAAAATATATTATCCGTAATAAAACTTCATTAAGGGGGTTGTTCTTTTTTTTGTTACAAAAAATTCAAGGTATTTGTTTTTATTTTTCTCGAAATGTGTTTATCATAGAGACATGCGGTTTTTTTTAAACAAAAATTACAAAATCATAGAATATTAAGAATTTTTTTTGTCGCCGTCATTTTTCAACCAGGGAGCGCCAAAGTCGGCCTTGCAAAATCGATCTCTTTTGCGGTGCCACAGATAAATCCGTTGCGCATCGCCTGAAACAAAAAAAAAACGAAACTACGTTGAAGAAGAAGTTTGAATCCAGTCCCCCTACCAAAATGAAAAAAAAAGCAAGAAGGAAAAAAATGGCAGCTATTTAAAAAAAACGTGTTAAAAAGGGCCTTTTTTGGGACGAGAAGCTTCGCAATTTTTTTTTGCGTAATGTTATCAAGTTGTTTGAGGTAGGGGGACTAGGTATTGCAGTGGTGAACAAATTAAAAAAAAAATGCAAGTCGATCCGACTTGTAGTTTTTTTTTTAATTTGTGGCACCGTATTGAAAAAAGTCAATTTGAGAAAAACGTATTTAAAGTTTTTAATATAATGTACTAAATACCCGATTTAATTTAATGTACGAAATATACCGTGGTGTTCAAAGATGCTGACACATTAAAAAGGTCATGTGCATGACGTTTTATAATGCAAATGAGAGCAGCTGGCATACAATAGCTCGCAGAGCGATAAAAAAAACGTTTTCAGAGGATCATACGTATAGAGATATTTAAATCTATAACTTCGTCAAAAAATAGATATTGAGATGATTTTTTTTTAAATAATTCTAAGGTTTTTAGCTTTTATAATATCAAAAAATCTCAAAATCGAAAAAAAAAACGAACAACCCCCTTAAAATATGTTTTATTGGATATTTTATAACCCATGTATTTTTTTATTTTTCCAGAAATGGAACTACCCTACAGAGCCAAAAGCGCCCTGGACCGCCTCGACCTAGAAACAGATTCCAGCTCCGACCAAAATTCAAATGAAGAAGACGAAGGCCAATCCGAAAACCGTTTATATAGTGGGTACCAAGGACCCCTTAGAGAACAGGGTCCCATGGAGGTCCAGAAGGCACATCTAATGATTCCACATCCATTTCAATCAGAACGATACACAAATTTCTGATTCTGATGGTATCCTCGATTTTGGTCTTTGTAAGAAACCATGGAGATGTAAGATATGTAACGCGGTGAGTGGTATAGTAGATATAAATGATGATAGAAAATTATGATATTGATATTTATATGTAAATAATATAGTTTTAACTATCTACATTTATAAGTGTATCAAACTTAGTATAATGTTGTGTGCGCCTGTATATAATTAATTTGTAATTGTCACACGCTATTTGAGAACAAAAATTGATAAATTATTTTACCGTTTTTAGTTTTGAAATTCAGCACGTTATGTTAAGATTTTACAGTTATAAAAACAACTATATTTATGACGTTTGTTTTTTAAAAACTGGTCAGTGATTAAACATTCTACAATGATAGTTATATGATTATTCTCTAAGCAAAGTGAAATCTGCCTAAGTTTTGAAAATACGTTATTGTATACATTTTTTGTTTGTGCTATAAACCTAATCAGCTTTCTTTGATATTAACATGATTTTTATAGAAAGTCTGTCAAAGATATTTCAACATATTTTTTTATTTTTTTAGTTATTACAATTCTTATTAAAAATCCCTTAAAGTTCATTTGCCCTGAACTAAATTTTGAATAAGAAGGCCAATATATTTCAGTAATATTACGTATTACTGTTAAAACTACAAATTTATAAGAGGTATAATAACAAATATATATAATCACAAAGATAAGAGATTGATTTTCGGGTTTATTTGCTTTTTGTTTATTTTAAATAAAATGAAAAAATTGTAAAAAAAACATATTTGGCAGTCTAAAATAATCATTTGACATATGTCCATTAAATTATCAGATATTTTATACATGAGTACTGATATTGTTACAATTTCTATGAATTCCGTACTGAGATTTTTAATTTTTGAAGTCTACTTACACGGTTCAAACAAATGTCAACATTTTCAGAATATCTGCTTTTTTAAATGTTCAAAAGTATGTAAAGTTTTAAATTTTAAATATAAATTTTAAATGTACAATTAAGTTTCAAATTGTATATATTTCATATGCGTTATTATAATCGTAAGATATATAATCTATTCTAAGATGTATTCATTCGGCATCTCTTCTTAATGTAAACATTTTTAAGTGTTTTGAGCGATACTATCGTCACTGTATATTATATTATCAAATGAATATATAGTAATTATATTATCTCTTTGGAAATTTTTAATCATGTTATTTATATATAATGATCAATTTAATGATAATTAATCATTTGCTCGAATATTTAATTCTGGTACGGCAAGTTCTAGCAAATTGATTTAATGCGCAATGCCATGCACCACTAGTTTATCTAATTCTGATGAGCTTTATTTGCTGCAATACTTCCAAATGGCTATTTTCATTTGTTTTATATCTTAGATCTATAATCTCAATATCATCTCACTACTGCTTGATATCAAGCTGGCCCGGGTTGATTATCAAAGCCGGAAATTATTGAGACTAGAACAAGTTCTTATCTTGACCATTGCAAGTAGAAAATTTAAAAAATATATATGTATTTGCATAGATTTATTGCCTATCAAAATAATATACTTTTTTAAGACAATATGCCGGGTGTAAATGCATTTAAAAGATTATCTCTTATGAGATATCTCTATTTTTTATTTTTTGACATTTTATTTAAGATTGTATGGCCACTTATTTTTCAATCTTCGAGTAGGAGATCCCTTGTTTAATTCTTTTAAATATTTGTTTGGGTGACCTGGTAATTTTTTGTGGTATTTTCAGTTGAAAATTGATTCAAAATTCCTTATTTATACTATGTAGTTATCGATCGATCTGATCAATAATCTTAAGAAAATCTGATTGTACTACTGCTTGTTGTCAAGCCGACTGATGGGATTTTCAAAACCGAAACTGGGCACGACTAGCTCGAGTAAAATTTTAAATCAAAATTCCTTGTAGAGATCAATCGATCTGGCATAAATCGATCTTAACTATTTTTTTTAGTTTTTGAAATTTTCACCTGATAAGAGATTTTAGTTCTTGTTCTTGTTCTTCTTCTTAGATTTCGTGTTCGTTTCGATGTAGTCGATGTATTCGATGTAGTATAAGAGTCCGCGAGGAATTACAATTAATTTTCGCAGTATAATGAAAACACTCGTGCCGTAAGCTGATTAAGTGCTAATTGCATGGCAACGGGATTACGACAATCCTTGGCGGATATATAACTATATATTGTATATATATACATATATACATATCAGTATATATATATATATATATACACCCAAGAAGAAGAAGAGCTCATACATCCATAGGTGATAAAGCAGCATCCCCAATATCGATCATAACATAATTCTGAACTTAGCACTTAATATTAATTATAAAATTTGTTGCATAGGAAAATTATTTACTTGTACAGCATATTTGCAATATAGCAAAATGTAGGTAACTTGATAATATTAGTTGCGTATGGCATCGTGCCTTAAGGCAAATTGCTGGAACTTCCCGTACCGTAACGAAATGTTCGAGGAATACTGAATGTTTTCAAATAGATTATTATAGATACTGCATACATTGTGTAATATTTATAAGGATTATATAAAATGACTTGCAAAGTTGAAATTATTTATTTAAAGTAACTAAGTAAGCTTCAGAACTTTACACAGGGTTAAAGTTAAAATCAGAATTATTTTCGTAATACAAAAAAAAAGATTTTTGAAAAAAATACTAAAATATTTCAAA